AAAAGTAAATAAAATTTAAACTTCATAGGGCCCTATTATTGTATACAAATTAATAAATTAAGTTGTTTTTATGAATTCAATTAATTAGATATTTTTTTGATTAAACCATTAAAATGGAATACAGAAAAATTAAAAAAAAAAAAAAAAGAAAGAAAGCGCAGAATTTGGACCCTAAGAATGTAATTTTTGTTAAACTTTTAATAAGCCTAAATTGCTGTTAAATTAAACAAGTTTCATGATTTTAATTAATAAGACATGTTTTTTGTTAAAATTTAATATAATCATCCAGAAAAATTAAAACGAAAAAAAAAAAAACTGAATCCAGAAAAATTAAAACAGAAAAAAAGTTAATTTGGGGAAAATAAAACGGATTTCATAAGGCCCTACAAATATCATGCATCTGAAGCTATAATTTTAATACTAAGCAACAGTGCATATTATATAGGGCCTATTTTAATTCTTTTAAATGGCGCCCACTCGTTTTTATGAAAGACCCAAGAAGGACCATGCACAGTCACTTTCCACACAGGCACACTTCATGTTTGGTTGAAATAATCCTTAAGCATGTACATTTATAATTTCCTTCAGTTTAATTTAAATGTGCAATTAAAATAAATACAAATAAATGTATATTTTAAAGTTTAGAATTAGACAGCCCAGCGTTGTGTAGACAATTGCATAGTGAAAATTACCCCAACGCACCACCTAGTGTCCAACCTACTCTAATACTATTATAACCTGTTTAAATGTGAAAAAGGGATTTACAACATTAAAGAAATCCTTTATTTATAACATGTACATGAAAAATCTAAAAGATTAGACACAACTATGAGACACGGTCGTGCAGCAGCGAGCAACAGTGAAAGGAACCTCAAGGTTGTAAATGTGTGAAATTGTATAGGGCCCCATTCCTGTATTTTGCCTGGGGCCCCCAAATCACTAAATCCGCCCCTGGAGGAGCATGCATAAGATTTAGTGATTTAGTTTTCTTGATTTACATAAAAGATTATAGGTGAATATCATTAACATGAATTTATGTATATAGGAGAAAGATGAAAATCTAGCATGTCGTGAGAGATTGGGCTCTATCATACATCCGGCGCAATGCGGCGCCATGCAAGTGTTTTTTTGCTAGATTCAGCCCGACGCAGTAATCATTTTCACATCCTGCGCCACGTTGTTTAAATAACAAATGCATTTGCGCCCATGTGTGCGCTCATGGGCGTGCTGGACTGAAAATTAGGTGTGTTCAGGCGCATTGTTGGTGCGTTGTTATTTTGAGGCAACTGAAATAGACTCCGACACTGACCAACTAAAACCTGGTCCAATGGCGCAGTAGTTTTTTTGTTATTTAAAGAGCGCGTTAGTATAGGCGGGTCCACTGCGCATACACACTGCTTATTACACACACAGGGATGCACAGCAGCACACAAACATGCCAAATATTAAAAATGAAAGGATTGCAATGTAAAAGATTATTATTGTGTAGGCTACATAAATATAAAATGCCTACATGTCATAATGGTTAGTCTTTGCATGTATCAGAATTAGGCTACCTATTTTCATAGGGCCCTACAGATATCATGCATCTGAAGCTATAATTGTAATACTAAGCAGCAGTGCATATTATATAGGGCCTATTTTAATTTTTTTAAATGTTTAAACGTTTTTGTGAAAGACCCAAGAAGGACCATGCAGAGTCACTTTCCACACAGGCACACTTCATGTTTGGTTGAAATAATCCTTAAGCATGTAAATTTATAATTTCCTTCAGTTTAATTTAAATGTGCAATTAAAATAAATACAAATAAATGTATATTTTAAAGTTTAGAATTAGACAGCCCAGCGTTGTGTAGACAATTGCATAGTGAAAATTACCCCAACGCACCACCTAGTGTCCAACCTACTCTAATACTATTATAACCTGTTTAAATGTGAAAAAGGGATTTACAACATTAAAGAAATCCTTTATTTATAACATGTACATGAAAAATCTAAAAGATTAGACACAACTATGGGACACGGTTGTGCAGCAGCGAGCAACAGTGAAAGGAACCTCAAGGTTGTAAATGTGTGAAATTGTATAGGGCCCCATTCCTGTATTTTTCCTGGGGCCCCCAAATCACTAAATCCGCCCCTGCCTGAGATTATTATTGTCATAGTTTGAATGTTGTTGTTCCAGCCGCGACATCACGGAAATAGAAACCATTTTGCGTGTCGTTCATAACATTACTGTTTTTACTGCATTTTCCATCAAATAAATTCAGTCATGGTGAGAATAAGACACTTCTATCAAAAACATTCAAAAATCGTAATTATTCCTAACTTTTGACTGGTAGTGTATTATGTAATGAACACGCAGCTCCTGCTCACTTATAATTGTCGTCCTCCACAAACTTCTGTAACTCTTCAATGTAGCGAACAGAGTTGAGATACTTCTGGACATGCGGCAATACTGGGATATCTGAGACAGAGGGAGAAATTAATTCACTGTTACTTCTGTTCATTTGCCGAAGTAAACAAACACGCAATGTGATACGCACCATATTCAACGGATCTCTGCAGGTCTGAGATGATTCTCAGAATGTTGTTCATCAGGTTGGAACGCTGTTCGTTTTCCAGAATGCTGCCGGTGGAGGGATACGCCGAATCGATGTAGGTCAGATCAGACAGATATATACCTATAAATACACAAGAAAGTCACAAAATCTACAGCAAAATGGCAACTGAAAGTCTTTTATTTTCAATTTTCAATATTCTCATCTCAATATCTCTTTATTTCTCTTTTCCTATCAGAAATCATTTGTTCTCGTTCTATTCTTGTCTGTCTGCAGTTGGGAGGTGGACAGACAGGCTTTTTCTGGCCCGTCTACAGAGCGCTTATTTCATGCTGAGTAAATATTTGGATTAGTGAGAAACATTATGTGCAGGAAGTATCTGCATTAGGAAGAAATATACGCAGCTTCTGGAGAAACATTTGGCAGCATATTAACTGATAGTGTGTGAATATTGATGATACGTGTTTGTGACAGCATGCTCTTAATGATATAAGCTTGGGGACTGCAAACAAGCTCATTACACCAGAGCATCACATCTGTGACGATCATCAAAAACAACAGTACACAAGCCACTGATGTGGATGACGGCATGATAAATGAAAGATTCAGAAAACAATTAGAGACAAATCAATCCCAGAATCCAGACTGATTTAAAACAGACAACGGAAGAGAGAGCAATGTAAGCGTTGTTTAAATTATCATTACTGTGCATCTCAGGAAATCAGGGGTAAGATAAGAATTACAGTTCTGTGTCAGACAGCCCGCAGCACACACAACGTAGCAGACACACTGCAGAGCAACACTGACATAAACGCAGACTGAATCCCTCAATAACTTACGATTAGATAAGTAAACACAGAGCACTGTGCTGTAGTGTGGGTGGACACTGAGAGCTGCGATTGAAAGTAGAGTGGGTGGAGTCAATCAAGTGATTGACAGCCAAAGATCTCTAAATTATAACAGCATGCTCTTAATGATATAAGCTTGGGGACTGCAAACAAGCTCATTACACCAGAGCATCACATCTGTGACGATCATCAAAAACAACAGTACACAAGCCACCGATGTGGATGACGGCATGATAAATGAAAGATTCAGAAAACAATTAAGAGACAAATCAATCCCAGAATCCAGACTGATTTAAAACAGACAACGGAAGAGAGAGCAATGTAAGCGTTGTTTAAATTATCATTACTGTGCATCTCAGGAAATCAGGGGTAAGATAAGAATTACAGTTCTGTGTCAGACAGCCCGCAGCACACACAACGTAGCAGACACACTGCAGAGCAACACTGACATAAACGCAGACTGAATCCCTCAATAACTTACGATTAGATAAGTAAACACAGAGCACTGTGCTGTAGTGTGGGTGGACACTGAGAGCTGCGATTGAAAGTAGAGTGGGTGGAGTCAATCAAGTGATTGACAGCCAAAGATCTCTAAATTATCCTCAATTATAATCATGACTAACCAAACATTTTAAATAAATATTTAAATAATAAGAATACATATTTCAACCCACTATACGTATACTACTGTTCAAAAGTTTGGGGTTGGAAAGAATTGCTCACCAAGGCTGCATTTATTTGATCAAAAGTTCTAAAAAAAAAAACAAAAAAAAAAACTGTAATATTGTAAAGTATATTACAATTTTGAAAAAACAGTTTTCTATTTTAATATATTTTAAAATGTAATTTATTCCTGTGATGCAAAGCTGAAATTTTAAATAAATATTTAAATAATAAGAATACATATTTCAACCCACTATACGTATACTACTGTTCAAAAGTTTGGGGTTGGAAAGATTTTCCCCTCTCGATCTTTTGCTCACCAAGGCTGCATTTATTTGATCAAAAGTTCTAAAAAAAAAAACAAAAAAAAAAACTGTAATATTGTAAAGTATATTACAATTTTGAAAAAACAGTTTTCTATTTTAATATATTTTAAAATGTAATTTATTCCTGTGATGCAAAGCTGAATTTTCAACATAGCTACTCCCGTCTTCTGTCACAACCTTCAGAAATCATTCTAATATGCTACACTAAAGAATATTTCTTATCATTGTTAATTGTGTTGTTTCCTTATTTGTTATTATATTTTTTTTTTTCTGGAAACCAGATACATTATTTCCCAAGATTTGTTAATGAATAGAAAGTTCAAAAGAACTGCATTTATGTGAAACCGATACCTTGTGTAACAGTGTGAATGTCTTTTCTGTCACTTCTGAGAAACTGAATGAATCCTTGCTGAATAAAAGTACTGATTTCTTTCAAAAATCTTACTGACCCCAAATTTTTGAACAGTAGTGTATGTAATTTTATCATCAATGCAATGTGTAAATTGAAAGAGATCTCGAAGAGAGATGGCTGCTTTGTGAATGTCAGACAAAGCTCAGGCACAAGCTAAATATTATTGTGGGAAAGCAAAACGGGAGAAAATCTCTACTGAACAGGTGACGTCTGTCCATTTCCTTAACACCTCATTTAATTGGGTGAAGTCGAGCCATTCAGGCATCACACTTCCATTTAAACACCTCTGCAGATCCCCCACACACACACACACACTAACTCAACATAAAACACAGACGCCAAACTCAAAATACTACTACTGACCAGAGCTCAAACCAATAACCTGGGAGAAAACTGTACAAATAAAGGAAAAATGTACGCAGTTGAGGAGGAAACATTTATTTCAGTATGAAATGGTTTACATAAAGAATAATTAATTCTTCCTTGCGGGCAATTATTATAGAAAACAAGTTCGAACTGTCCCTTAGTTTGTAACAACAAATAGAAATAGTGTTTAAAATAATGCAATTACAATGAAAGTCAAGGGGTTCTAGAGGCATTGAAAGTAGAAATGTGGAGCATATATTTAACCTGTAAACTTATAAATTGTCCTTTTTCAGTACAACTACTGTTCTGGGATGAACTTCTGTTTAATGTGTTACTTTCATGCAAGTGGATTTTATATAAACAGTCTATTTCTGGAAAAATCGCTTGTATTATATGAAAAAGAGTTCACTGTCATTACACGCTCATAACAGGATTTGAAAGACTGTATATAATGTTACATAGACATGGTTAGAAAGTGATTTTATCACTCTAGTCTCCTGTAAACACATGTAATATGTTTACATTTTGTGGCTGTACAATCAAAACCATGTCTATTTTAACATTTATTCCAGCTCAGTGGCTCGCCCCCATAGACCTCTATTCCTTTAGCAATGGAAAGCTAACACAAAGAAACCTTAATGTACTTAAAGGGATAGTTCACCCAAAGACACAAACTGTGTGATCATTTACTCACCATTATCTTGTTCCAAACCTATATGACTTGCTTTCAAAACGATTTTTGAAGAACATTTAAACTGTTTTTGACCATATGATGAAAGTCAATGAGGTCCAAACAAACAAACAAACACAGGACCCCATTGACTTTCACTGTGTGGATTCAAAATTTTCCTTTGACTTCCACAGAAGTCAGTCAGGCACAGATGGGTGAACTATCCCTATAAGGATCTCGAGCTTTCCAAAGATCAGATGAGAGCCAAACACACAAACAATCGTGAATTTACACAAGAAAACAAGGGAAGGACATTCTGGTGTCACTGGGCAGATTGTTCAAACACATTCTCCACACCCTGTCCAAATGATCCTCAGTTTCCTTGTTCCATTTTGAACAAACATCTTAGAGACATGCGTGGGAAGATCACTATCTATTCAACTTGTGCCGTCCTCAGGACTGCTGAAAGCATGTGCGTCTAGTGAGACCACAGGAAGGAACGGTGGAGTCCCGTGCTGCTGGGCTCTAAGCGAAAGCAGTCCCCTCCGTCTCCACATAGACTGCAAGCCTATTCTCCCTGTGTTCAGAGAGATCTCCCCTCCTCCTCCTCCCCTGAAGAATGAGAGATTTGATGGGAGGTGAAATTTTAGAAGGGGTCGAGTTATTCTGTCTCTATTTCAGCACCCGTTACATCAGAGGAGGGGTTAGGCCCTTCCCTCCAAAAAGGAGAAAAGGAAGAGAGAGGAAAAAAAATCAGGTCCCAATTCCCTCCGTCCACCCCTCCCTCCCCCAACCTTCGTGAAAAACTAGAGTTGCTGTCCGAGAGTTCCTCAGTCTCCAGAAAGCAGCTGAAGGCTGAACGATGCCGCTGCCCCAGATCTCGTGAACCCTTGGACAGGAGCTCCCTACTGGGCTGAGCAGGGTCCTGGACACTGGGGATCCGATACCACAGGAGCTTTGAGGAGGAGGAGGAGATACAAGAGATGTGTTCAGCTTTAAGGACTTTTAGAGAGCCACTGGGAGAATAAGGAATCACAGAAGACACCCAAGACTGGTGGACCCCAACTGAGAACAAAGGTCAGAAGACACCTGGGTAAAAGTTGCAAGTTCTTCACTCAATTGTTATGCTTTTTCTTTATGTAATTTCTCTGATATTTCACTCTTCATCCCTCAATCTGTCAGCAGCTGGAAAGTTCTCCTTCGTCTTTGTTTGGCACATGCCACCACCTGTACGTTCGCTGCTGTTTTTGGTTTTCTGAACAAATTCCTCCAGCTGCTGCCCTGTGCGCTCAGCCAGGGTACGGGTGGGCCAAGCGGTCTGGTCAAGGGTCATTCTGAGAGTTTTCATTGGATTACTTCCGTGTTCCTTCATAATCCAATGCAGGGAAGTAGGAAAAACATCAAAGGCAGAAAATTACCCAGAACTGCGCCTCTTATTCTGTTTGTTTGCTTTTCACAAAAAGAGATGGGTGTTTTCTGGTCCACTTTAAGGTCATGCAGAAGGGGGCAAATGCATCTGGATGGGTGTGTTTGTTAGCTTGGTTAAGAGCTGCTCTCTCAGCACGTTCGGAGCCTGATACTCTCAGAGATTTCCACTGTGCTATCTAAAACAGTGTCGGCCACTCTGTGGGTTGTGTCTTGTGGCTTTTCTTGTACTACGAAGACTGTATTTTGTGGATTCTGTCTTATTTTGAGGACTGTGGTTTGTGGATTATATTGTAGAATGTTGTAGATGTTTCTTGGTTGCCTGGTGCTCCTCACGGTTTCTCTGGCTGAAGCTCTTGGGAATCTGGTCCACTGAGCGTCTATGTACCATTCTGTAGGGGATAAGGGACTCT